AAGCGAGATGCAAACCGTCTCCATGTGATGTTGCAGAGGAGGAAAAGATACAAGAACCGAACCATCCTGGGCTACAAAACTCTGGCAGTGGGAGTCATCAACATGACTGAGGTACGGCCGCGGGACGTACGGCCGCGGGACGTACGGCCGCGGGACGTACGGCCGCGGGACGTACGGCCGCGGGACGTACGGCCGCGGGACGTACGGCCGCACTTTTTGATGGTAACTGTGTCTGTGTGTACATGTGCGTCCCAGGTGATGCAGCATCCGACTGACGGAGCCCACATCCTTGGTCTCCATAGCAACGTGAAGAATGCCTCTGTGCGTGCAGCGGAGTTGAGTGTCCTCTCTCTCTCTAGCCAGCCAATCGAACAGGAGGACACAAGTGGTCACCATGGCAACAAGACCAAGGCCTCAGGTAGGAGACAGTGAACCTGACCTTCTCATTATACACTGGCTCCTGATTGGTCCTCCTCCTCTTCATCGCCTCAGATCATAAAGAGAAAAACAGAAGCTGAAAAATGAATGAAACAAACCAACGTTCACCTGTGGACGGATCAGGTACAGGGTCTCCTGGACTCAACTGCATGGGCTGATTGATGTCCTGTTGAAAAGTCTCAGTGACGATTAGAAAGTTTCTTCTCAAACTGTTATTTCACATTTATCTACTATTTTATTCAAACAACTTTTATGAACCTGAGACTTAATAAACACATTCATCAAAACATTTCGTCCACATGAGTGAAGGTGACAAGAGATTTGACGAGTTTCTAAAAAAGCTTTTTCATTTTTAACTTAAAAATAATGTTGACACGAAGATCTGAGTCAAACTTGAGCTGCGATCGTCCTGAAAACAAAGACATGAAACACATGAGAGTCCTGATGTTAGTGGAAGGTTCAGTGTCCCCACGACAGCCAGAGACCAACCATTCACCTCTCCGCTCAAAGTGGCAGCTGCTGCCTCTCAGACCTGACGAGTCCTCGGTGCAGCTGAGGAGGAGGAGGAGGAGCAGGAGGAGGTGGAGGAGGAGGAG